AGTAGAGACAGGATTTCGCTATGGTGAACTCCTGAGCTTGTGATCTGCCTGCCTCAGCCTCACCGCACCTGGCCTCATTGGTTTTCAAAGTATGATATATTTTCAAATCTTTCTCCTGTAACCCAGGATTTCATTAGATACATATATTACCATTTTAATATTGTTTCTCTGTTAAATAGCGTTTACATTAAGGTCTGCATGCTTTCTACTCCTTGTTACATATTGAAAGTATTTTCTACTACCTGCTATACAATCTTAGGTTGTTATAATGTGTACTTGATAAAGATATCAAGGACCTTTTTTCTTTACCCTAACAAAAATTTAGTTGAAGTAGCCTATTCCCTTTTCTTTATGTCATCTGATAAAATGTTGAGCTGCGAGCTTCTAAGTAAATGTCCCCTCAAGTCTCTCTGATCTAGAATATTCTACAGATGTTGAAAGATGAGCTGGAATGGCTTGGAAACTTGAAAACGGGCCTTGTTTTAGCAGAGCCTACGTGTTCATGAACAAAACATTTGCTCAGGTCTCATTTCTAATGCTGCCTTGTTTTCCATGTGTGAAACACCTATAGTTATGTGTTCATAACTGTGTATATTTTAAGCATTTTTCTGGAAGTGAGTAATTACACGTTTGGGATTGATGCCATCAGAACCTTAGACCTTGAGAGAAGTTTCTTTTGCTCAGTCCTGGAATTTTTGTGTGTGTGTGATGCAGTCTTGCTCTGTCACCAGGCTGGAGTGCAGTGGAGCGATCTTGGTGTACCACACCTCTGCCTCTTGGGTTCAAGCGATTCTCCTGCCTCAGCCTCCAAGTAGTTGGGAGTACAGATGCACACCACCATGCCCCCCAGCTAATTTTTATATTTTTAGTAGAGACCAGGTTTCACCATGTTGGCCAGGATGGTCTCAATCTCTTGACCTCATGATCTACCTGCCTTGGCCTCCCAAAGTGCTGGGATTACAGGTGTGAGCCACCGAGCCTCACTGGTCCTGGAATTTTTTTTTTTTTTTGAGATGGAGTGTCACCTTGTCACCCAGGCTGGAATGCATTGGCACAATCTTGCATCACTGCAACCTCTGCCTCCTGTGCTCAAGTGAATCTTCTTGCGTCCGCCTCTCCAGTAGCTGGGACCAAAGACAACTGCTACAACGCCTGGCTAAGAGTATTTTTGGTAGAGAAGGGGTTTCCCCATGTTGCCCAGGCGGGTCTCAAATTTCTGGGCTCAAGTGATCTGCCTGCCTCAACTTCCCAAAATGCTGGGATTATAGGGGTGAGCCACCACTCCCAGCTGGTCTTGGAGTTTTCCAGAAGAGGAATACCAAGGCAGCCTATTGGCCCTTTTAGGCCATCACATGGGAATCAGTCGCATCTTCTTATTCACCTCAGGGGTTCTCAGGAGAACTTGGTGAAATGTCTCAGTGAGCCCACCTGTAACATAGAGGGGAGGAATAAGACCAGAAAAGCTCAGTCCGAGTGACACTGAATCCTGCAGTGACTGACAAAATACACCGTGTGACTTTTCTTTTCTTTTTTTTGTTTTTGCTTTTTGTTTTTTAGATGGAGTCTCATTTTGTCACCCAGGCTGGAGTGGAGTGCAGTGGCGTGATCTTGACTCACTATAACCTTCACCTCCTGGGTTAAAGCTATTGTGCCTCAGGCTCCCATGTAGCTGGGGTTACAAGCACCCACCACCACACTTGGCTAATTTTTCGTATTTTTAGTAAAGGCAGGGATTTATCACGTTTCCCAGAATAATCTCCATCTCCTGACCTTGTGATCCGCCCACCTTGGCCTCCCAAAGTGCTGGGATTACAGGAGTGAGCCATCGAATTCAGCCAGTGCCTAGTTTTAACTCAAATTTTAAATGGATTCCAGTCCTTCAAATTTTTTTTTAAAGCACAAGAAGAGGGAAAAAGGGTATTAGACTCGAATCACCATGAACCTTATCCTCTCATTGGCTTTAACCCACCTACACGGCTCCACATGCCTTGCTGGCCTCTCCCCTGAGCTCTGCAATCCTGTAGGCTGAGGTAGACGGATCACCTGAGGTCAGGTGTTCAAGACCAGCCTGGCTAACATAGTGAAATGCTCTCTCTACTAAACACACACACACACACACACACACACACACACAGACATGGTGGCGCATGCCTATAATTTCAACAACTCAGGAGGCTGAGGCAGGAGAAGTGCTTGAATCTGGGAGGCGGAGGTTGCAGTGAGCTGAGATTGTGTCATTGCACTCTAGTTTGGGCAACAAGAATAAAACTCTGTCTCAAAAAAAAAAAGTTTATTTTGCCAAGGTTGAAGACGCACCTGTGACACAGCCTCAGGAAGTCGTGATGACATTTGTCCAAGGTAGTCGGGGCACTGCTTAATTTTATACATTTTAGGGAGACAGACATCAATCAATATATGTAAGAAGCACATTGGTTTGGTCTGAAAAGCTGGTACAACTTTAAGCAAAGGCAGGAAGACCTCAAGCAGGCAGGGGGCTTCCATGTCACAGATCAGTGAGGCACAAATGGTTGCAATCTTTTGAGTTTCTTTCTTTTTTTTTAGATGAAGTCTCGCTCTGTTGCCCATGTTCTGCCACGTTGGCTGGGCTGGTCTCCATCTCTTAACCGCAAGTTAACTGCCTGCCTTGGCTGCCCAGTGTCTTGGGATTATAGGCATGAGCTGCTGCACTGAGTTCTTCCTTTAAATTTCTGATTAAAATTAGCCTTTCCAAAGGATGCACTCAGATAGGCATGTGTGTCAGGGAGAAGAGGGGCGACTTTGAATAGAAGGGGAGTCCGGTTTACTAAGCAGTTCCCAGCTTGACTTCTCCCTTTAGCTTAATGACTTGGGGACTCCAGGATTTCTTTTCCATAGCCCAACCTTCACCCCACTTTTGGTGCATGTTGCCTGTTCTGTGTGATCATTTTTCTGCCTTTGCCATTGACTCTTTGGCTCCTGATGAGAACAAGGCCTAAGGGGAGAACAGAGAACACTGGGCTGTGCTGGGCTCACCCGCTCTGAGTGGAGCTCAACCCTGGCTTCACATTAGAGACAGAGGCATTTTGCAAATAGAATATTTGTGCTGCTTTACGGGGATTCTGATTCTGATGGGATAGAACCCATCCTCAGTAATAGCGATAGTGTCCCAGGTGATAGTAATCTGTGTGCAGTACTGAGTGTCAAGGCTGTGTGTGTAGGGTTTGGCCCTACATCGACGTGGGGTAGACCCTACCGCTGTGCAGAGGCACTGGTTCCGATAAGTAAAGAGACAAGACACAGAAGGATGAAGAAAGCACAAGTGGGCGCCACTTACAAGCGGAGACAGGTGGGGCTCCGAACATCCAGGAGCGTCTGTATTTATTGGGTATAGGTTGGGGGTAGAGTAGTATGTGAGGTCATCTTAAAGGATAGTCACGACAGTCATGTGAGCAATAAACAAGGGGTCCACCCCCATTAGGTCACCTAGGCTAGGAGGTGGGCAGTGCACAGCAAGGGGTTTATCTCGATTAGGTCACCGAGGAAAGGAGGTGGGCTGTGTGCAGTGAAGAGGGTGCAAGGTGCACCATCTCTTACCTAGGGGCAGGCTACTTTTAGGAATTCCATAGGAGGATGCTTTGAGTCAGCACAGTAGCTAAAGAACTAACAGGGTATACAGCCACCTGCTGGCAGCTCCCAACGGTTTCTGTAGGAGGATGCTTTGAGTCAGTACATAGCAACCCAGCTGACAAGGTATACAGCCACCTAGGCACAATTATACCAAAGGGGTTTTAAGCCCTCAGACACTCACAGGCTTCCCAACCTGAGGCCAGCTTTCCACAAGAACTGGATGCAAGGTACTGCAACTCCTTTTCAGGAGGAGTGACTCTTGCCCCAAGCCTGCCATACCGTGGGTATCTTTACAATACTGAACACTGCCGCCCCGGCCGGATTCTTGTCCTGGTATAACTGTTTTTCCCTTAAATCATGCTCTGCACCATGTCTGCTCTAGATATTCTTCTGACTATAAGAAAGATACGATTATCTATGTGTAGCTGCTTATTCCTTAATTCATGCATTGTACCATGTGTTCTCTAGGCATTCCTCCAACTATGAACTAAGATATAATTATATATGCAAATAACTGAGTAGAAAGATACTAATTGTTCCAACTATAAACTACTACATGATTATATATAAAGGATTATATAAAGGAAATAACTGAGTAGTAACACTGTAAGATATTCTTTATGGCCAGGCGTGGTGGCTCACGCCTATAATCCAGGCACTTTGGAGGCCAAGGCGGGCGGATCACCTGAGGTTGGGAGTTCAAGACCAGCCTGACCAACATGGTGAAACCCCGTCTTTATTTAAAAAAAAAAAGGGGGGGGGAGCGGGCGTGGTGGCTCATGCCTATAATCCCAGCACTTTGGGACGCCGAAGCGGGTGAATCACGAGGTCAAAAGATCGAGACCATCCTGGTCAACAAGGTGAAACCCAGTCTCTACTAAAAATACAAAAATTAGCTGGGCATGGTCGCTCGTGCCTGTAATCCCAGCTACTCAGGAGGCTGAGGCAGGAGAATTGCCTGAACCCGGGTATTCTTCAGGCACTAATTGTGCTGGGGATCTGCATAGCTCTCCTTCCTCGATGTCTAGATTGGGGAAGGAGACATCTTTGTCCTCCATTTCTGAGAGCTGAGCTGAGCCTGTGATCCACAGAGAGGGGAGGGGCTGTGTTCTGGTTGGGGTTTGGTTAGGGCAGGGGCTGTGCCCTGAAGGGGAGCTCAGTCCAGCTCCCCACTGCTGCCTGGTGTGTGGGGCTTCTCCAGGAGGGGAGTGAGGTCTGAAGACGAGGGTGAAACATACACTTGTAGGTGTTCCTGTGGGATCACTGCATGATCTCTGGTGCAGTGGGCAGCAGAGGCCCGTCTTTCTACAGAGTGAGGTCTCCCTCATGAGTTTTTGTCACAGGCAGGGAGTGAGTGGTTTCTAACATAAGTTTCCTGCATTTTTCCCATACAGTGTTGATTTCTAAAGACTTGTGAGGAAGCAGCTCAGAAGAGGAAAGAAAAGGAGCCCGGCATGGCTCTTCCTCAGGTAAAGTGACACTCCTCGGTGGGTTCATCTGTCTCTTTCCTTCCTGAAATGCCAGGTATTGTAGTAGCCAGTCTCTTCTGAGTCTGAAGCGTCCTGCCTGACAGGTTGGCTGGCACTCACCCGTGCCTTCCTCGGTTTCTGTCATCTGCTCTGTGATTCCATCTCTTGGGACCCAGTGACATGAACTCAGGAAGAGGCTCCACTGGGCATGGTCGTGGGAAGGGCTGACACCCAGACCGGGATGGACACGGGGTGTGGGCCTTGTGGTGTCAGTGCTGCTGCGCAGCCTGGATGGTTCAGGGGCCACATCTGGATGTAAGACCTTTGAGGATGAGATCAGAGAAACTACGTATGAAACACATGGGTTAAAGTGCACAGATGTCTGGTAAACTCTGGAAAAGGAGACCAGTAGGGGGAGCTATTTTGTAACTGATTTGGTAATGCAGTGGAAGCCACACTAGTAGAGCAACACGTCTCTGACTCCAAACTTTTTTTTTTTTTAAGAGATAGGACCGTGTGGTGGCTGATGTCTGTAATACCAGCACTTTGGGAGGCTGAGGCAGCTGGATCACTTGAGGTCAGGAGTTTGAGATCACCCTGGCCAACATGGAGAAACCCTATCTCTGCTAAAAATACTACAGTTAGCTGGTGTGGTGGTACATGTCTGTAATCTCAGCTACTCAGGAGGCTGACACAGGAGAACCACTTGAACCCAGGAGGTGGAGGTTACTGTAAGCCAAGATTATGTCACTGCACTCCAGCCTGGGCGACAGAGTGAGACTTTGTCTCAAAATCAGAGAGAGGGCGTTGCTATGTGGCACAGGTCTGGAGTACAATGGCACAGTCCAGAGTTTACAGCAGCTTCGACGTCTTGGGTTCCAGTGACCCAAACTTTAGCCTCCCAAAAAGTTAGAACAACAGGCATATTTTACCACATGTAGCTAATTGTATGTATGTATGTCTATTTATTTGAAATGGAGTCTCACTATCGCCCAGCCTGGAGTGCAGTGGTGCGATCTCAGCTCACTTCAACCTTTGCCTCCTGGGTTGAAGCGATTCTTTTGCCTCAGCCTCCCAAGTAACTGGTACTACAGGGCATTAGGGCGTACGCCTGTAATCCCAGCTACTTGGTAGGCTGAGGCAGGAGAATCGTAACCAGAGTCAGAACTGCACTCCAGCCTGGTGGCAGAGCAAGGCTCTGAATCAAAAAACGTATGTGTGTGTGTCCTCTAGGCACTATGGCAGGAACCTGGAATCCCACCTACTTGGGAGGCTGAGGCAAGAGAATTGCTTGAACCTGAGTGTCAGGGGTTGTAGTAAGCCCAGATTTCACTGCTACACTCCAGCCACAGCCATAGAGTGAGAATCAGTCTCAAAAGAAAAAAAAGATAAGACGGGTGATAAAGGGTTGCCTGCACGCCTGTGTGACTATTCAGTGACATTTTACGACGCTCCGTGTTCTCAACCTTGGACTTCTCTCACTTCCCTCCACTAGGTAAACCACTGATAATGTAGATTTGAAGCTGTGTCTGTTATTTAGGGGTTTATATTCAAAGCTGAATCCAGACTGCTGGATTCAGGTGCCTGTGTTGACATTTTTAGCTATTTGATTTGTTGCAAGTTCCCTAGAGTGTGTGTGAGGCAGTTCTCTTTAAGGACAGATCTTTCCTCATGGGACAGTGTGTTTAGTTTATTGCTGAGGACATGGGAAGCACGTAGAAGTGTTTAGCACATGGGAGGTGTTCAAACATGTTTGTTATGGCTGTTGCTGTAATTCGGACAGTTTGATAATGATCAACGACTCATGTCATTTGGGGTTTGTTATATAGCTTATTTCATCACTCCTCTATTAAACCCCGTACCCATAGTTATTTCTTATTTACTTATATATTTTGAGAATGAGTTTTGCTTTTGTTGCCCAGGCTGGAGTATAATGGCATGATTTCTGCTCACTGCAAATTCCATCGCTAAGGTTCAAGCGATGCTCCTGCCTTGGCCTTGCAGGTAGCTGGAATTACACCTGTCAAGAACCATGCATGGCTAATACTGTATTTTTAGTAGAGACCGGGTTTCACCATGTTGTCCAGGCTGGTCTCGAACTCCTGACTGACCCCAGGTGATCCACCAGCCTCGGCCTCCCAGAGTGCTGGGGTTACGCCTGTGCCACAGTGCCTGTCCGAATTTGTTTCTGATCTTTCACTGTGGACATTGTCATCTCTGAAAACATGACTCATGATCTAGATACTGAATATCATCTAGATACTGCATATACTGATATCATCTAGATACTGAATGTGACTTGGTGTGTCAATAAAAGTGTCCAACCAGCTGGGCACAGTGGCTCATTCCTGTAATCCCAGCACGTTGGGAGGCGGAGGCAGGTGAATCGCCTGAGGTCAGGAGTTCAAGACCAGGCAGATCAATATGGTAAAACCCCATCTCTTTTAAAAAAAAAGTTTCTAAGCTTTCTATAGCAGGAATGCTGCATTAATTTTTGTTTGTTTGTTTGTGTATTTCTTGTAGTATCCACAAACATAAGAAATTCATACTGAGAGGGTATCATGACTGCTTCAAAAAGTATAATAAACACAACTGGGAAGACATAATGTGGTGAAAAATCCCTTTCTTCATTTGTCAGAACATTCCCTACAATTAAATCCGTGCTTTCACCTCTGTCCTCTTGTCATTCTCTGTAGAGATCAGAACTCTTCGCATAACCATGTGGTTAAAATGTGTTTTCATTTCAGGGTCTATTGACATTCAGGGATGTGACCATAGAATTCTCTCAGGAGGAGTGGAGATGCCTGGACCCTGCTCAGAAGACTTTATACAGGGACGTGATGCTGGAGAACTACAGGAACCTGGTCTCCCTGGGTGAGGATAACTTCCCTCCGGAAGCGGGGATGTGCCCTTGGGTATTTAGATGTTGCTCGTTCTTCATGATACCTCATTGGGGGTTCCAGATCTAAAGTAGGCATAAATTTTATGGCAGGCCAGGTGCACTGACTCACGCCTGTGATCCCAGCACTCTGGGAGGCTGAGGCTTGTGGATGACTTCAGATCAGGAGTTTGAGACCAGCCTGGCCAACATTGTGAAACCCTGTCTCTACTAAAAATACAAAAATTAGCTGGACGTGGTGGTGCATGCCTGAAATCCCAGCTACTAGAAAGGCTGAAGAAGGAGAATTTCTTTAACATGGGAGGCAAAGGATGCAGTGAGCTGAGATCACACCACTGCACTCCAGCCTCTGTCACAAAAAACAAAAAGAAAACCTTCTGGCAGACTTTAAAGATACCCAGTTCTGGCCAGGCTTGGTGGCTCACACCTGTAATCCTAACACTTTGGGAGGCCGAGGTGGATAGATCATGAGGTCAGGAGATCAAGACTATCCTGGCTAACATGGTGAAACCCCGTCTCTTAATATTTAGAAATGATACTGAAAAACAAAAAAAAGACAACTAGTTCCCTGTTTGCTACTCCTGTGGCTTTGATTCAGTAGTTTTGGAAGAGAGCTTAATGTCCGCATATTATAATGCTCCCTAAGCATTTAGAAAGAGGCAGTCAGTGGAGGAATTAGTGAAATATTTTCCTCTATCCATCTGTAATGTCTTCTTTCCTACTGAAACGCAGGGCTGGGACTCTAGAAATGCTCTAGCACATCATGTTCATTCTTTACCCCCCCTTACTCCCTCCCTTCTCCCTTCCCTCCCTCCCTCCCTCCCTCCCTCCCCTCCTTCCTTCTTTTTTTTATGTTTATTGAGACAGAGTTTTTCTCTTGTTGCCTAGGCTGGAGTGCAATCGTGTGATCTCGGCTCACCGTTTCCTCCACCTCCCAAGTTCAAACGATTCTCCTGCCTGAGCCTCCCAAGTAGCTTGAATTACAGGCATGTGCTACCACTCCCGGCTAATTTTGTGTTGTTAGTAGAGACCGGGTTTCTCCATATTGGTCAGGCTGGTCCCGAACTCCTGACCTCAGGTGAGCCACCGCTCCTGCTGTTCCTTTTATGTAATTTTTTTGTATTTTTAGTAGATGGGATTTTGCCGCGTTGGCCAGGCTGGTCTTGAACTCCTGACCTGGTGAACTGCCTGCCTTGGCCTCCCGAAGTGCTGGGATTACAGTCCTGAGCCACTGCACCCGGGCTTTAGTCAATTCTTATTTTTTATAATGCTGTGTACTTTCTTGACCTCATTCATCAAAAGGTAGTGATCTTAACATGTATTTCAGTTCTTATATTGCGTGCTGCTGGTAAGTAGAAGCTGTGGCATCTTTGTTAAGAGAGTTTAGAATTCTGTAGGCTTTATAAATGTACTTTATTTGCTTTCTCATTTTATCATGGGTTAAAATATTTTATTAATTTTTATGATCTTCCATACAGCTTTTGGGTATGTGGTATGCAGTGTAACTGACACATTCCTCTCATTAGTGTCACAAAGTGCTACTGGTTGCAGTGGCTTATGCTTGTAATTCAGGACTTTGAGAGGCCCAGGCAGGTGGATCACTTAAGGTCAAGAGTTCGAGACCAGCATGGCCAACATGGTGAAACCCCATCTTTATTAAAAATATAAAAATTAGCCAGGCATGGTGGTGCATACCTGTAATCCCAGCTACTCAGGAGACTGAGGCAGGAGGATCATTTCAGCCTGGGAGGTGGAGGTTGCAGTGAGCCACGATCACATAATTGCGTTCCAGCCTGGGTGACGGAGAGACTACATCTCGAAAAAATAAAAATACAAAAAATTTTAAAGAAAATTTTACAAAGTGCCTGTTCTGCATGGATATAGGTAATTTTATGGCATATTTAGAAAAATGCTATATTAATATTTCCTTTGTTTTTTTTCTTTTTTAAAATGGAGTCTTACTTTGTCGCCCAGGCTGGAGTGCAGTGCTATGACCTCTGCTCACTGCAAGCTCTGCTATTTGGGTGCAAGTGATTCTTGTGCCTGTGGTTTCAGCCTTTCTTTCTTTTTTTTTTGAGACAGAATTTCGCTCTTGTTACCCAGGCTGGAGTGCAATGGCACGATCTCAGCTCACCTCAACCTCCGCCTCCTGGGTTCAAGCAATTCTCCTGCCTCAGCCTCCTGAGTAGCTGGGGACTACAGGTGTGCACCACCATTACCAGCTAATTTTTTTGTATTTTTAGTGGAGACGGTGTTTCACCTTGTTGACCAGGATGGTCTCGATGTCTTGACCTCGTGATCCACCCGCCTTGGCCTCCCAAAGTGCTGGGATTATAGACGTGAGCCACTGCGCCCAGCCTGGTTTCAGCCTTTCTAGTAGCTGGGACTACAGGTGCAGGCCACCACGCCTGGCTAATTTTTGTAATCTTTTGTTATCTTCTCGGTGCTATGATTGTTTGGCAATGCAGAATTTCCATTGAATTTGGTTATCCTTACATGAGCTTGTTGTAAATTTACTAATACATTGTACGGTCTGTTAACATTTATTTGTATACAGTAAATGTACTATAAATATGAAGATAACAAGTTTTTATCTTCATTGTTGAAACAGTGATACGTTTTTTGCAAACTATTAGACACTTGAGGACCACAGTGGAAGAATACTCCTTACTTTAGGCTCACACATGTTGCTGCCCTTTCAGTGTTTTGTCATGATATTGGAAAATAGGATTCCATAGAAATGATTTGAAGTGCATAGAATCACCCTTTATTTATTAAAGAATCTTACTCCTTTTGTGATCCTGAACGTTGAAGATTACGTTTGGAAAGTTTAAGTATTGTTTTTTGTGTCGTATTTGCATATTGCAGTATTTTTTACCTCTGTACTGAATTAGAAACCTATTTGTGTTTACAGTTTGTAAGTATCTCTTCCAAATGCATGATGAAGGAGTTCTCATGCACAGGGCCAGGCAACACAGATGTGTTCCACACAGGGTCGTTGGAAAGATACGAAAGTCATCACATTGGAGATTTTTGCCTCCAGGAAATCGAGAAAGATATTCATGACTTTGAGTTTCTTTTTTTTATTCTTCTACTCTTTTTTTCTTTTCTTTTTTTTTGAAAATATAAAGATGGGGTTTCACCATGATTGCCAGGCTGGTCTTGAGCTCCTGACCTCAGGTGATCCTCCCACCGCGGCCTCCCAAACTGCTAGGATTACAGCAGTGAGCCGCCGTGCCAGGCAGACTTTGAGTTTCAGTGGCCAGAAGATGAAAGAAATGGCCATGAAGCACCCATGACAAAAATAAAAAAGTTCACTGGTAGTACACAGAGATATGATCAAAAGCATACGGGAAATAAGGCTATGAAACATGAGCTTAGATTAAGCTTTTCATTTGCATCTGCCTGAACTGCATCTATTTCAGACTGAATGGAAAAATTGGTAATCAAGTGCAGAAATCTATCATCGATACTTCCTTGGTTTCAACATCCCCAAGAATTTTTTGTAGGCCCAAATCCCATATTTCTAATAACCATGACAATTTCCTCCATTCTTCATTACTCACACAACAGCAGGAGGTACACGTGAGAGAAAAACCTTTCCCATGTCATGAGAGTGTCAGAGCCTTTAATTGTAGCTCACTCTTATGGGAACATCAGACAATCCATTTAGGAGAGAAACAATATGAATGTGATGTGTGTGGCAAGGCCTTTAATCAGAAGCCGTACCTCACACACTGTGGTAGATGTCACACTGGTGAGAAACCTTTTTTTGGAGACAGAGTTTCGCTGTTGTTACCCAGACTGGAGTGCAATGGCACGATCTCTGCTCACCGCAACCTCCGCCTTCTGGGTTCAAGCAATTCTCCTGCCTCAGCCTCCCGAGTAGCTGGGACTACAGGCGCGCACCACCGTGCCCAGCTAATTTTTGTATTTTTAGTAGAGATGGTGTTTCACCTTATTAACCAGGATGGTCTCGATCTCTTGACCTCATGATCCACCTGCCTCGGCCTCCCAAAGTGCTGGGATTACAGGCGTGAGCCACCGCGCCTGGCCTCCCTCAACTTCTTTATTGATCAGCTTTTTTTTTTTTTGAGTGGGGCGGTTTGGGCTGGAGTTTTACTCTTGTTTCTCAGGCTGGAATGCAATGGTGCAATCTCAGCTCACAACCACCTCCTCCTCCCGGGTTCAAGCAACTCTCTTGCCTTAGCCTTGCAGGAGACTGGGATTATACACATGCTCCACCATGCCCCGGCTAACTTTCTGTATTTTTAGTAGAGATGGGGTTTCTCCATGTTGGCCCGGCTGATCTCAAATTCCCCACCTCAGGTGATCCACCTGCCATGGCCTCCCAAAGTGCTGGGATTACAGGCATGACCCACTGTGCCCAGCACAGCTGTCCTGTGGTTTTATCCATTATTGAAGGCGGGATGTTGAAATGTAGCATTAAATGGAGCTATTTCTTTGAGTTCTTTAAATATTGGCTTTATATATGGAGCTCTGATATGCATATACATATATATTTCTAGTTGTATATTTTGGGTGAATTAACTCCCTTATCATGGTATAATGTCCTTCCTGGTCTCCAATAAAAAAAATTTTTTTTTTTTTGAGGCGGAGTTTCGCTCTTATTACCCAGGCTGGAGTGCAATGGCGCGATCTCGGCTCACCACAACCTCCTCCTGGGTTCAAGCAATTCTCCTGCCTCAGCTTCCCGAGTAGCTGGGACTACAGGCACGCACCACCATGCCCAGCTAATTTTGTATTTTTAGTAGAGACGGAGTTTCACCATGTTGACCAGGATGGTCTCGATCTCTTGACCTTGTGATCCACCTGCCTCACCCTCCCAAAGTGCTGGGATTATAGGCATGAGCCACCACGCCTGGCCTCCAATAAAAATTTTTTGGTTTTTTTTGAGACTGAGTCTCACTCTGTTCCCCAGGCTGCAGTGCAGTGGCGGGATCTTGGCTCACTGCAATTTCCATCACCCGGGTTCAAGCCATTCTCCTGCCTAAGCCTCCCGAGTAGCTAGGATTACAGGCACCTGCTACCATGCCCGGCTAATTTTTGTATTTTCAGTAGAGACGGGATTTCAGCAACTTGGCCAGGATGATCTCTACCTCTTGACCTTGTGATCCATCTGTCTCAGCCTCACAAAGAGCTGGGATTACAGGTATGAGCCACCACGCCCAGCCAATAAAATCTTTTTGGTTAAAACTTATTTTAGTATAGCCACCACTGCTCTCTTTGGGTGACATTTGCTTGGAATATCTGTTTTTATCTTTTGTGTTATTTTGTATTAACTTTTTTTTTTTTTTGAGACGGAGTTTTGCTCTCGTTACCCAGGCTGGAGTGCAGTGGCGCGATCTTGGCTCACTGCAGCCTCCGCCTCCTGGGTTCAGGCAATTCTGCCTCAGCCTCCTGAGTAGCCGGGATTACAGGCACACGCCTCCATACCCAGCTGTTTTTTTGTATTTTTAGTAGAGACGGGGTTTTGCCATGTTGACCAGGATTGTCTCGATCTCTTGACCTCGTGATCCACCCGCCTTGGCCTCCCAAAGTGCTGGGATTACAGGCTTGAGCCACCGCGCCTGGCCGTAAATTTTTTTTTTAAATACAGTGTCTCGCTCTGTCACCCAGGGTGGAGTAGAGTGGTGTGATCAAGGCTCACTGGAAATCTTGAAATCCTGTGCCTAATGTTTCTCCCACCTCAGCCTCCAATGGTAGCTGGTACAGGTGCATGCCACCATGACGAGCTAATTTTACATATATATATATAGAGAGAGAGACAGGGTTTGACCATCTTGGCTAGGCTGGCCTTGAACTCCTGACGTAATGATTCACCTGCCTTGGCCTCCCAAAGTGCTGTAATTATAGGTGTGAACCCCAGTGTCCGATGATGGGCTAATGTTTTTGTTTAGAGACAGTGTCTGGCTGTGTAGTTGAAGTTGGTCTTCATCTCCTGGGCTCAAGAGATCCTCCTCAGCCTCCTGAGTTGCTAGGATTACAGGCCCCAACCCCCATACCTAATTATTGGTTGCTGTTTTTTAAACTGTATGTGTATGTGTCCTGAGGGCTAATATGAGTCTTCTGTGGACAACATGTAGTTAGTTCCTGTTGATTCAGCCAGTCTTTGCCTTCTGAGTGCTGTTTAATATTTACATTTGATGTGTGACTGATGGAGAAGACCTTACTGTTTAATTGTTGTAGGGTTTTTTTTTTTGTTCTTCATTTCTCATTTACTACTTTTTGTGTTTAATTTATTTTTTGTGTAGATACTCTTTAACTTTCTTTTCATTTACTTTTTCTTTTTTTTTTGAGACAGTTTCACTCTTGTTACCCAGGCTGGAGTGCAATGGCGCGATCTTGGCTCACTGCAACCTTTACCTCCTGAGTTCAGGCAATTCTCCTCCCTCAGCCTCCTGAGTAGCTGGGATTATAGGCACGCGCCACCATGCCCAGCTTATTTTTGTATTTTAATAGAGATGGGGTTTCACCATGTTGACCAGGATGGTCTTGATCTCTTAACCTCGTGATCTACCCGCCTCGGCCTCCCAAAGTGCTGGGATTACAGGCGTGAGCCACCGCGCCCAGCTACTTTTTCTTTTATTACAGAGTCTCACTCTGTCACCCAGGCTACAGTGCAGTGGTGTAATCTTCGCTAACTGCATCCTCCGCCTCCAGACTAAAACGATTTTTTGCCCCAGCTTCCTGAATAGCTGGGACTACAGGCACCCACCACCATGCCCAACTAATTTTTGTGTTTTTAATAGGGATGTGGTTTCACCATGTTGTCCAGGCTGGACTTTAACTCCTGATCTCAAGTGATTTACCTTCCTTGGCTTTCCAGAGTGCTGGCATTACAGTTGCGAGCTGCTATGCCCAGCCATTTTTAGTACTTTAAGTAGTTTTTGTCATTTAGTTTTCACTAAACAGACAAGTGGGTTCAGTGTGATTACAGTATGAATATAACAAACATCTTAGTGTGGATTCCTTTCAGCATGAAGAACTGAAGTGTGTTGTGTAGATATTTGGGGTGGAAGTCATTGTTGCAGGTATGTTAAACTTCTCAAAGTTATAGCATAATAATGAAACATTAAATTTGCATAACTTGGCCAGGTGCGGTGGCTCAAGCCTGTAATCCCAGCGCTTTCAGAGGCCGAGGCGGGTCCATGACTTGGGGTCAGGTGTTCAAGATCAGGCAGGCCAACATGACAAAACACCATCTCTAATAATAATAGAAAAATTAGCGGGGCATGGTGGTGCATACCTGTAATCTCACCTACTCAGGACTCAGGAGGCTGAGATCAGAGAATTGTTTCAACCCAGGAGGTGGAGGTTGCAGTGAGCCTGGATTGCACCATTGCACTCCAGTCTGGACGACAGGGAGAGACTTTGTTTCAAAAATAAAAATAAAAATAAGGGCCAGGCGCGGTGGCTCACGCCTGTTATCCCGGCACTTTGGGAGGCCGAGGCGGGTGGATCACGAGGTCAAGAGATCGAGACCATCCTGGTCAACATGGTGAAACCCCATCTCTACTAAAAATACAGAAAATTAGCTGGGCATGGTGATGCGTTCCTGTAGTCCCAGCTACTCGGGAGGCTGAGGCAGGAGAATTGCTTGAACCCAGGAGGCGGAGGTTGCAGTGAGCCGAGATCGCGCCATTGCACTGCCGCCTGGGTAACAAGAGCGAAACTCCATCTCAAAAAAAAAAAAAAAAAGAATTTGTTTTTGTTGCCATTTTTATTCTTTTGAATCCCACCTCCACCACCAAGAAATTTTTTTTAAAGTCACAAAGTGAGTGTTCTGCGTGAGTATAGGAAATTTTCTGACCTTATCAGTAAAATACCGTATTAACACTTTTTTCTTTCTTTCTTTCTCACTTTGTTGCTTAGACTCAAGGTCAGTGATGTGATATCGGCTCACTGTATCCTCTGCCTCTTGGGTTCAAGTAATTCTTGTGCCTCAGCCTCCTGAGATTTTCTTAGTGCTATGATTGTTTGACAATACAGAATTTCCACTGATTTTTGTTATGCTGACATGAGCTTATTGTCATTTACTTAATTTGATTAACTAAATAAATTTAATTAATTCAATTTAATAAATTTCATTTATTTAATGTCATTTATTTATTTATTTAGATTCTTTACCAATGTAGTATATTGTATGGTCCTTTAGCATTTATTTGTATACAGTAAATATGCTGTAAATAGGAAGAATATATAGTTTTCTCTTCATTGATATGACGGTAATGTGTTTTTTGCAAACTGTTATGCACTTTAGGATCACAGTGGAAAAATACTCCTTACTTTAGGTTTATTCGTTTGTGCCCTGTCAGTGTTTTTCATGATATTGAAAATAGGCTTCTGTAGAAATGATTTGAGTTACATGTAATTACCCTTAATTATTTGTTGATTTTTTTTTTTTAATGGAGTCTCACTCTGTAGTACAATGGCATGATCTCAGCTCAATGCAGCCTCCACCTCCCGGGTTCAAGTGATTCTCCTGCCTTAGCCTCCCGAGTTGCTGGGATTACAGGTGCTTGCCACTATGCCTGGCTAATTTTGCCCTTTACTAAAGAATCTTATTCCTTTTGTGTTCCTGTACTTTGAAGATCATGTTGGGAAGTTTAAAATAAGAATTGTTCTTTGTGTCGTTTTTACACATTTCAGTATTATTTACCGTTTGTACTGAATTGGAAACCTATTGATGTTTACATCTTGTAGATGTCTCTTCCAAATGCATGATGAAGGCAACATGCACAGGACAACGTAATACAGAAGTGTTCCCCACAAGGACATTGCAAAGACATGAAAGTCATCACATGAGAGAAAAATCTTTCCAATGCAATGAGACTGGCAACGCCTTTAAGTGTAGCTTACTTTTAAGGAAAAATCAGATAATCCATTTAGGAGAAGATCAGTATAAATGAGATGTATGTGGCAAGGTCTTTTTTTTTTTTTTTAACTTTTTAATTTTTTTTTTATTTTATAGCTACTTACTTACAGAGTGGCAAGGTCTTTAATCAGAAGCGACAGCTTTTCCGCCATCGTAGACCTCATACTGGAGAGAGACCTTACAAGTGTAATGAGTGTGGCAAAACCTTCCGTCAGATGGCAAATCTTGTATGTCATCATAGACTTCATACTGGAGAGAAACCTTACAAGTGTAATGTATGTGGCAAGACCTTCAGTCAGACGTCATACCTTTTTTACCATCGTAGACATCACACTGGAGAGAAACCTTACAAGTGTAATGAGTGTGGCAAGACCTTCAATCAAAAGTCATCCCTCACATACCATCATAGACGTCATACTGGAGAGAAACCTTACAAGTGTAATGAATGTGGCAAGGTTTTTAATCAAAAAGCACACCTTAAATGTCATCATAAAGTTCATACTGGAGAGAAACCTTACAAGTGTAATGAGTGTGACAAGACCTTCAGTCAGAGGTCATCCCTTACATGCCATCGTAGACTTCATACTGGAGAGAAACCTTACACGTGTAATGAGTGTGGCAAGACCTTCCGTCAGTATTCAGCCCTTGTAAACCATAAGGCAATTCATACTGGAGAGAAACCTTACAAGTGTAATGAGTGTGGTAAGTCCTTTGGTCGAAATACAACCCTTGTAAATCATAAGGTAGTTCATACTGGAGAGAAACCTTACAAGTGTAATGAGTGTGGCAAGTCCTTTGGTCGAAATACGGCCCTTGTAAATCATAAGGCAGTTCATAGTGGAGAGAAACGTTACAAGTGTCATGAGTGTGGCAAGGCCTTCAGTCAGACGTCCTCCCTTACATACCATCATAGAATTCATACTGGAGAGAAACCTTACAAGTGTAATGAGTGTGGCAAGGGTTTTAATCAAAAGATACACCTTGAATGTCATCATAGAGTTCACACTGGAGAGAAACCTTACAAGTGTAATGAGTGTGGCAAGACCTTCAGTAAGATGGCGAGTCTTGTAGGCCATCATAGACTTCATACTGGAGAGAAACCTTACAAGTGTAATGTATGTGGCAAAGATTTTAATCAAAGATCACACCTTGCACCTCATCGTAGACTTCATACTGGAGAGAAACCTTATAAATGTGAAGAATGTAACAAACTTTTCAGAAGCAAATCACAGCTTGAAAGACATAGGAGAATTCATACTGGAGAGAAACCATACAAATGTAAGGTTTGTGACAAGGCTTTCAGGCGTAATTCAACCCTGGCAGAACATACTAGAATCCACACAGGAGAGAAACCTTACAAGTGTAACGAGTGTGGCAAAGCCTTTAGGGGGCATTCAACACTTAGTCACCATAAATCAATCCATGGTACAGGGAAAGTTTTCTAACGTAATGATTGTCACCAAGCCTTCAGTAAGGCTACCACCATTGCAAATCATTAGAGAATCCACAATGAATAGAGATCTTACAAATGTAATAAAGGTGACAAATGTTTCAGACATCATTCATCCATTGCAGTTCATTGATATACTGGAGAGAAACCTTACAAATGCTGTGATTGTGGCAAAGTCTTCAGTCGGGCTTCATCTTAGGGAAAACGGGAGAATTCATACAGGAGAGAAACCTCACAACTGTTATGACTGTGGCAAAGCCTTCACATTCACACCTCAATAGACATCAGAGAATCCATACTGGGCAGAAATCTTACAAATTTCGTTAAGTGTGGCAAGCTCTTCAGTCCAAGGTCACTTTTGCAGAACACTGGAAAATTCATTTTTGAGATAATTGTCCCAAATGCAATGAGTCTAGCAAACCATCAAGCATTAATTGACATTAGAGTCGGTTCAGCATTGATATGAGTTTGAGTTGACTTAACATTCAGTTCAAGCATTAATTGACATTAACGAGTTTATGTGAAGAGGATTGGTCTTGGCATGTCTGCTCATGCCTGTAATCCCAGCACTTTGGGAGCTCAAGATGGGTAGATGACTTGAGATCAAGAGTTTGAGACCAACCTGGCCGAGAGACGTAAGTCTTTTCCCAGTTTTTTTTTGAGACGGAGATTCGCTCTTGTTACCCAGACTGGAGTGCAATGGTGGGATCTCGGCTCACCGCAACCTCCGCCTCCTGGGTTCAGGCAATTCTCCTGCCTCAGCCTCCCGAGTAGCTGGGACTACAGGCATGCGCCACCACGCCCAGCTAATTTTTTTGTATTTTTACTGGAGATGGTGTTTCACCTTGTTGACCAGGATGGTCTCGATCTCTTGACCTTGTGATCCACTTGCCTTGGCCTCCCAAAGTGCTGGGATTACAGGCGTGAGCCACCGCGCCTGGCCTGTTTTTTTTTTTTTTAACAAAAATTGATAGGGATTTTTAGGGGTGTTGTGTTGAATCTAAATCACATTGGGCTTTATAATCATATAACAATATTAATTTTTCCAATATATCAATCAGGGTTGTTGTGGGCAGGAGACCCCGTAAGTGCCGAGGGAGGAGTCAGAAGCCTCAGTCTGTTTCCATATAAATAATGAAGAAGAAAATAGAGATAATCGTAGTAGTTATTCATAGGTGATCTTAGTTATTCATAGGTAATCATTAAGATATATACAAATATGTATACTCAGCATAATCTTTTACTAATGCCTCTCAGGTGTTGAAGTGTGAACCTAAGGTGACATTGTGAAAGAAGTGACCCTAAGGCAAGATGCTTTAAGCGCTCTGTCATGCCCGTGTAAGGGCTGCTGGAGGACACCTTGGCTATGTGACAGCACCAGTGCTGGGAAAGTGCCCGATGTTTAGCAAGCTATGGAAGGATATGTCAGACATGTCTCCTTCTTCCCAGGAGCTAGGAGAACACTGCACTCCCCAGGTTCTTGCGGTGGGCCTGATGGCTGTCAGGGAGGCCCACAGACATCCTGGGGCTTAATTGTCTCTATGTGATGCTATGCTTCAGTGGTCATGTTTCATGTCTGTTTTCTTATTCCATTTCTGGACCTGGTTCCTCTTTTTCTTAGAAGGTAAAATCAGTAAAAGGAACATAAATATTAATGTCTTGACAAGTGTGGAAAAGCACTGACTCATTATGCTCCTTCCCTTGTTTCGGCTTCTTGAGTGTCCTGGGCCCCTAGCTATGTGACACGTGATGTACTTTGACCCAATCACTGACCACCAATGCGACGCGCTACCTACCCTGCCCCAGCTTTGTAGTCAGTAAATGTCAGAGTGTGCGGACACTCGGGGCCACTGCCGGACTCCGCGCTTTGGCTGGCAGTGGACCCCTGGGCCCAAACTCACTTGCTCTCGATCTTAGTGTCTTGTGACTATTTCCAGTTTCTCGTCTCTACACCACTAGAGAGGGGCTCACAGAACCCTGTAGGGCTGGACCCTACATCTGGCGCTCCAACGTGGATTTCTGTCTTGCGTGAAGGTACGCCTTGAGCGTGGAAGCAGGAGATCGTTCAGTGAGAAATTCCTCAGGACTGTGCTTAATAAGCTTGTGGTAAGCTGAAGTGCCTCAGAGGAATCCAGGGTAATCGTGGTACAAGCCAGTATGAAATACTCGGCCTATCTTAATTTTATTAAAATTCTCCCTCAAAAAGGAAGGTCACAGTTTCTTCTGAGAAATTTATTCAGTTGTTGGAGGTTATGGATCAGTTTTGCCCCTGGTTCTTCATTGAAGGACCTTGAAACTTATGGATTGGCATAAGTTCAGCCGCCATCTTAAAGCGACTCATGAGGAACAGCCTGTTTTTTCTGTTGCAATCTGGTCTCTTTGGTCTTCTGTACTGTCCTCAGGTCTGTCCAGACACAGGAAAAGTCCTTGGAGGCCGACTCCTCCTTCCTCTCTTCAGAGGAGGTTCTTGGGCCACTTTCTCCAGAGGACACAGCCAAGATTGAACACACCATTTCTAATATGAAGGTGGACCTAGAATTCACCTTTGTCTCTCCACCTACTCCTAAGCCTTCTGCACCACCTTTTACTGCATCTGATGACCTTATGCGTGAGTTACAGACTACCGATTGGCAAAGCCCGATTGAGCAGTCCATGCAACAGCCATCATGGCCAGAAGCTTCCGCTCTTTCTCAGCCCTGCTGTAGGGCTCTGAACCATCCATCTAATCGGCCCAGTGTTGAAGCTCTCAACTCTATCCCTGTTCAGGCTTGCTGTAAGGCCCTCAACTCTGTCCTGTGCATCAGGCTCTGTAGTCCATTGGTCAGCCTGGTGTTCAGGCCCTCAAAAGACGTGCTCCGCAGGTAGCCGGTTCACAGCCTGGTCCACAGGCCCTTGACAGACATGCATCACAGGTAGCCATGGGTCAGCCTGGTTTAAAGGCTCTCAACCTTTCCTCTCAGCATTCCAATTCCCTTTCTGTTTCTGGTCCATCCATGGTTGTGGTTTGCTCCCAAAAACAACATGTCACATACATAGGTGAGGATGATATGCCACTGATGACAGATACTATGCAGGCTCATGAATATGGGGATTCTGAGGCATGGCAGTTTTCCATGGTTTTGCAGCCTGCTGCTCCCGTCCCGGCACCCCCTGGCACTAATCCACCTGCTGTTCTTGCACTGCAAACCAACGGCGCCTAAGGGCACACAGCCTGACACTCAGGCACCAGTGCCTGTTTCTCAGCAGTCTGTGCCCACTCCTGCTGGTATTCCTGGTGTACAAGCTGTCGTCCAGTCAGATCCACTCAATCCAGGACAGCTTCAGGTGCACATGGCAAATTGGGAAAGCTTTTCTTTCAAATTTCTTGAAGATCTTAGGGAAGCAGTCACACAGTATGGAACTAATTATCCTTGTGTCCACCCCACTTTAAAAGCTTTGGCAGAGGATAAATGTTTGGTGCCATATGATTGGGTATGTCTTGGCAAGGTGGTCTTAACAAAATCTCAGTATGCGGTTTAGAAGTTGGTGGGTCGCTGCTGTTCAGGAACACATCCACAGAAATTAGGGAGCCAAGCCTCCTGTTAACATCTCTGCCGGTCATCTTTTAGGCATGGGGCAGTGCACTGCTATTGTACATCAAACTATTATAAATGATGAGGTCATTGGCCAGCCTTGATGGATGGGACAAAATTCAGGACGAAGGTGCACGTTGCCGTTGATTTACGCCTGTTAGGGACTTAATGGACCATATCCAGACGTTACTGCCCGTCTTCACGATGCGGCAGCAAAAGCTATTCCTGATAGTCATGAACAACACCTAGTTGTGGAACTCATGGCTTGTGAACAAACAAACCCAGACTGTCGGGCAGCTGTTCCCCAATTAAGGGTAAAGTCTCACCAGGAAGAGATATACTTACCTATATTCAGGCTTTTGAAGGTGTTGAAAGCACCATGCATGCGGCAATATTATGCCTCAGGCTATGGTGGGTATTAAAATGGGTGGACAATTCTCTGGTAATTGTTTTCAGTGTGGTCATTTCGGACATATACAAAAGAATTGTCCTGGCCCTTGTGGCTAACGCTCTGCACAATGCCAGTCTCAAAGACCAGTGCAGCAACGGCGTGAAAATACAAATGTATGCCCTAAATGCTGTAAAGGATACCATTGGGCTAATCACTGCCATTCTAAGACATTGATGGCAGCCATTTACAACAAAACCAGAATCAGGGAGATGGGAAGAGGGGCCGTCCC